AGAATATTAAGTATTTTCTTAGGGTGGTCAAAATCATTGCAAAGAGTATCTCTTCCATAAAACATTCATCCAGTTTGACACATTTTCATAACCTTAATGAAATACCATTTTATTATTTGGATATAAGAGAACGTTAATTCATGTTTTCAACATTGTCATCATGGTAGCTTTAACTCAAAAACAGCGAGTCACCATCAAGGGTTAACGTGATCAAGGCGTCAATATCAAAGACATTGCAGACCAAGTAAGTTTTTTTTCTCTCACTCCATTTTATTGTCTCTCTTCAAAGTAATTTTTTTTGCTGTGAAATCTTAGAAATGAGATTTGTTTGAATGTTTGTCTTTGTCTTAGATATCTTTTATTTTCTTGCAGGCATTCTGTGTATGCTGCTCTGACAAGGTACAACAACCAAGGTAGCCATGCTGATCTGCCCAGATCTGGTAGACCCAGATTGTCCAACGACCGTGATGACAGCTGTCTTATTCGAATGTTACTGCAGAACAGGAGGCAGACGGTCCCGGATCTTTCAGCATCATGGAACCATGCTGGTGTAGCTTCCTCTACTTCAACTGTCCGTAGGCGACTGAAGGATGTTGGTTTGACTGGACATGTTGCGCAGAAAAAGCCTATGCTGACCCAAAGGCACAGAAATCTGAGATTAACATTCGCCAGAGAGCATTCGACGTGGACATGGGTTGATTGGTCAGCAGTTTTGTGGACTGATGAGTCAAGTTTCACAATGTTTCAGAGTGATGGACCAACCTTCGTCAGGAGGCGGCATGGTGAGCAGCTTCGAGATGATTGTGTGGTGCCAACTTTCAAATTTGGTGGAGGGGGATCATGATGTTGGGTGCCATGTCGTATCGCGGGACTGCATTCCTCACGAGAGTTACTGGTAACTTAAATGCCGTTGGATACATTGATATTCTTGGCAATAGTGCTGTGCCATCGGCCCACTACTTGGGCTTTGGAGGTAATTTCTGGCTCCAGGACGATGGCGCACCTTGTCATCGGGCAAGAATTGTCACAGAATGGAAGAATACCAATGGAATTCGAAGTTTAGTGTGGCCTCCTCAGTCTCCAGACTTGAACCCGATTGAAAATATGTGGTGGGACATCAAGAAAGCTCTTAAAACAAGACGAAGTGCAAATCTTAACGAACTGGAGATGAATGTAAGGCAGTGTTGGGAGGAAATTGCAGTGGAACGTTGTGAGAGACTAGTGAATAGCATGCCTAGGCGTGTTCAGGCTGTCTTAGCTGCTAATGGTGGCTACACTAAATATTGACAGAAGTTGAGTTCCATGATATGAAATCTAGCAAAGTGGTGTTATGTTCTGTTTTTATTGAGTTGTGTATTTTTGTTATTTCAGGTATTCATATCTTGAAATATGGGTATAATGTATAAATAAATGTTATAAAAAGTAATGTAAAACTTTGTTTTAAATAAGTTAAGCCAAAAATCTTAAAAAATGTTGTCTGTCAAGGAACTTTTGGAGGGCAGTGTATATGCATGTTTTTTAACAAAGATAAAGGTCATATTTAGGTATATAACATTTTGTTTTATATATTGTTTTTAACAAAGATAAAGGTCATATTTAGTATATAATATTTTGTTTTATATGTTTGTTTTTTAACAAAGATAAAGGTCATATTTAGTATATAATATTTTATTTTATATGCATGTTTTTTAACAAAGATAAAGGTCATATTTAGGTATATAACATTTTGTTTTATATATTGTTTTTAACAAAGATAAAGGTCATATTTAGTATATAATATTTTGTTTTATATGTTTGTTTTTTAACAAAGATAAAGGTCATATTTAGTATATAATATTTTGTTTTATATGCATGTTTTTTAACAAAGATAAAGGTCATATTTAGTATATAATATTTTGTTTTATATGCATGTTTTTAACAAAGATAAAGGTCATATTTAGTATATAATATTTTGTTTTATATGCATGTTTTTAACAAAGATAAAGGTCATATTTAGTATATAATATTTTGTTTTATATGCATGTTTTTAACAAAGATAAAGGTCATATTTAGGTTTATTACATTTTATTTTATATGCATGTTTTTTAACAAAGATAAAGGTCATATTTAGGTATATAACATTTTGTTTTATATATTGTTTTTAACAAAGATAAAGGTCATATTTAGTATATAATATTTTGTTTTATATGTTTGTTTTTTAACAAAGATAAAGGTCATATTTAGTATATAATATTTTGTTTTATATACATGTTTTTTAACAAAGATAAAGGTCATATTTAGTATATAATATTTTGTTTTATATGCATGTTTTTAACAAAGATAAAGGTCATATTTAGTATATAATATTTTGTTTTATATGCATGTTTTTAACAAAGATAAAGGTCATATTTAGTATATAATATTTTGTTTTATATGCATGTTTTTAACAAAGATAAAGGTCATATTTAGGTTTATTACATTTTATTTTATATGCATGTTTTTTAACAAAGATAAAGGTCATATTTAGGTATATAACATTTTGTTTTATATATTGTTTTTAACAAAGATAAAGGTCATATTTAGTATATAATATTTTGTTTTATATGTTTGTTTTTTAACAAAGATAAAGGTCATATTTAGGTTTATTACATTTTGTTTTATAAGCATGTTTTTTAACAAAGATAAAGGTCATATTTAGTATATAATATTTTGTTTTATATGCATGTTTTTAACAAAGATAAAGGTCATATTTAGTATATAATATTTTGTTTTATATGCATGTTTTTAACAAAGATAAAGGTCATATTTAGTATATAATATTTTGTTTTATATGCATGTTTTTAACAAAGATAAAGGTCATATTTAGGTTTATTACATTTTATTTTATATGCATGTTTTTTAACAAAGATAAAGGTCGTATTTAGTATATAATATTTTGTTTTACATGTTTGTTTTTTAACAAAGATAAAGGTCATATTTAGTAGAAATCATTTTGTGTTATATGTTTGTTTTTTAACAAAGATTAAGGTCATATTTAGTATCTAACATTTTTGTTTTATATATTGTTTTTTAACAAAGATAAAGGTCATATTTAGTATATAATATTTTGTTTTATATGTTTGTTTTTTAACAAAGATAAAGGTCATATTTAGGTTTATTACATTTTGTTTTATAAGCATGTTTTTTAACAAAGATAAAGGTCATATTTAGTATATAATATTTTGTTTTATATGTTTGTTTTTTAACAAAGATAAAGGTCATATTTAGGTATATTACATTTTGTTTTATATGCATGTTTTTTAACAAAGATAAAGGTCATATTTAGTATATAATATTTTGTTTTATATGTTTGTTTTTTAACAAAGATAAAGGTCATATTTAGGTTTATTACATTTTGTTTTATATGCATGTTTTTTAACAAAGATAAAGGTCGTATTTAGTATATAATATTTTGTTTTACATGTTTGTTTTTTAACAAAGATAAAGGTCATATTTAGTAGAAATCATTTTGTGTTATATGTTTGTTTTTTAACAAAGATTAAGGTCATATTTAGTATCTAACATTTTTGTTTTATATATTGTTTTTTAACAAAGATAAAGGTCATATTTAGTATATAATATTTTGTTTTATATGTTTTTTAACAAAGATAAAGGTCATATTTAAGTTTATTACCCTTCCAGATTTTTTCCGCCTTTTTGATTGGATATTGATTACCCGAAAGAAATTGATATAACCGAGCCAGACGGGTAATATACACATTAAATTTCCCCGTTGGGTACCCAACGTTGTAAACGACATGCGCTGAGATGATGCGCGTACGGTTCGATTTTACGGGGTGTAAATTCCGATTTACAAGCACTTTTTAACTGTCAAATGATAAATATTTACCAAAGTAGAGTAATGATACAAATTCCCATCAGTATTGAAAACAAATATGACCTTGTGAAAGCTTGATATTAATTACAAAAAAGTGTTTCAATAGACTACTCCTTTTCTCTCGTTTACATTCGTTAGGTACGGGAAAAATACGTCATGTATTTATGTGACGTCATGTTGTGATGAAGAGGTACCCTAAAGGGAATCTTATTTCGACGTTTCATTTGAAACAGCAATGATTTTTTAAAAAATCGTCTAAACTCGACAGGGGAAGGGTAATAAAATTATTATTTTGGTTTTGGAGTGATATATGTGGATATATTACCTGCCAAGATAAAATATCACCCTCGCCTAACGGCTCGGGTGATATAAAATCTTAGCAGGTAATATATCCACATATATCACTCCAAAACCAAAATAACATATAATATTACATTTTGTTTTATATGCATGTTTTTTTAACAAAGATAAAGGTCGTATTTAGTATTTAACATTTTGATTTATATGTTTTGTTTTTAACAAAGATAAAGGTCATATTTAGTATATAATATTTTGTTTTATATGTTTTTTAACAAAGATAAAGGTCATATTTAAGTATATTACATTTTGTTTTATATCCATGTTTTTTTAACAAAGATAAAGGTCGTATTTAGTATTTAACATTTTGATTTATATGTTTTGTTTTTAACAAAGATAAAGGTCATATTTAGTATACATCATTTTGTGTTATATGTTTGTTTTTTAACAAATATAAAGGTCGTATTTACTATGTAACAGTTTGTTTCAAATGTATGTTTTTTATGAAAGATAAAGTTCATATTTTATGATACTTTCTTTTTTCGTTCTTAAATTAGAATAACGTTTCAATAAACAATCTCTTTTGATAACTGTACGATTTATAATGTAAAAATTATTATTTACTATTCTTTTTTCTATGTTTTTGTTCACACTGAACTTTGGATTTGTATAGGGTATAAACATTGTTTTAACATGTTTAATGCTGAATAAAACTTTGTATTCTTATTCATATATTTAGTTTCAAATGTATGTTGTTTCCAAAAATAAAGGTCATATTTAGTTTATAATAGTTTGTTTTTCGTATGTGTGTTTATATCAAAGATTAAGGTCATAAACAAAAGTCATATTTGGTAAAACATTTAGCTTTATTTGTACTTATAGACCCATTACAAGGCTTAACAAGCAGTTTTATCAATTCATAATATATTTAAGTATAATGTGCCTAAAAGATAGGACGTAAGATTCGTCCAATCTTTTAAAATGTCTAACCTATGTTATAGCTGCCTTATTGCACATGCCCTAACATTAGACAATTGAAATAAAACAAAAACAACTTCACACATTTAAAATGAGATAAGTCTTTTAACAACTCTATGCCCAAAGAAGTCCATATATACCATCACAGTTAACTTCCTTATCTCTAAGAACAGTAATAACAAATACTGTACTGGCGTTACAAACATAGGCAAATATCTACTGCACTTAGCATTAACATTGTCGCATATTTCGTTTTTTTCCTATTCACATATAGCAGACCACAACAAAATGTCAGATTTGATTTTCATATCTTCACATTCACTGAATGAACTACGACCCAATGCACTTTGTTAGTCGAATATTCTCGGAGCAGCCAGGTTTAGTTGAAATTGATCCTGTTGAAATATGCACGAGGTGGTACGACTGGTTCTAGAAGATGATTCTGATTTAGCCAATTCTGTCAGTATTCCAAGCTAAAAAAAGATACAATAAAATATAAAGCGCTGATGCTTTAAATCAAAATCATAGGAAGTATAATTATGGTAAGACCAGCATTGTTAATGTAATTAAAGCATATGTCTGCAAAAATATTCTCTATGTCACCTACATGCAATGACTTTCTAAAAAGTATATCGACCCATAAGAAATTAAGTATTGAGTCAGACCTATACTGCCAAGGTCATATGATGAAAGACCTTTTCAGAAAGGCATCAGAAGCCTCTTTGTGCATTATTTCATATATAAATAGGCATCAATGTGAAACTTTCCATGAGCTAACTTGATAGATTCCTAACATGAGAGATTTTTATTTTTTGTTTGTTTGTTTCATTTTACGCCTTTTCCCAACAGTATTTCAGTCATATAGGCGGGTAGTTTCCTAACCATCGTTCCTGGAGAGTTACACCAGTACTAGACTACCTTCCTCCGCGCTAAACTACCAAAGCATCTCCAGGGGATCGAACCCACGCCAGAGAGGTAACTGGATTAGAAGTCATCCACTCTAACCCCTCGACCACGGAGGCGGATATAAGAGATTTTTAAAGTCACTGGTGGGATTTGAACCGTCAGTGTTAAGGGAAAAGTGAATAACGGTCACGACCTCTAGTCCACATTTTATTTTTGTAAATACAGACAAAAAACAACAGCATTATTTTGAGGGACACAAAGGGTATCACATACCCGAGATGGCGTCCTCATTGCTCTTCTTACAATGTCAACATTCTGTATGTGTTGAGGATCCTCTGATGCCTGAAACATACAATATAGTATCTCATATGTTTGTAAATGCCAAAATGTACAATAATATATCAAACATTCAGTACGCTGAACATTCCTGAAAATATAGAAGAATATATCAACATTCTGTTTATGCTTAGACTACCTGAAATTCAGTTTTTACTGGCGAGAGAAGCCCTCAGGTGCCCTCTGCATTACCCAGACTTGGAAATAATGGTGACCCTATCCAAGCCATGATCCCTCTCAGCTTGCAAGATTTTTATATTAACCCTTTTACGGATCATTGATTTCAAATAATTTACAAAAGTGGCTCCTAAATGAGATTTTGTATATGCTAAATAAAACAAAGGATCCAACAAGATGGAGTGCTGAATACCATTTTTTGAGAACTGATATCGAGAAATTGGTGCTATCCTAAACAAGAACCAGTTGAACCGGGTGATGCTCCATAAGAAGGTTTTGGACAAAGGAAAGTTTAAAAAAAAAAAGGGAAAAAACTCCAAAATAAGGCAAGGCAGAGTTATGGTTTTTTTGCACCGCACTTCAATTCAATGAGATCTATCTATCTTTAAAGTTTCCTGATGTTATCTATTATAGTTTCAGAGTTATGTCCCTGGTAAAATTCAATGTGTAAAAATGAACAAAGGGCGATAACTCCAAAATTAGACAAGGCTGTGTTTAGGTTCTTTGGCATTGCAGTTCTATCCAATGAGATCTATCTACCTACAAACATTCATGTTGATATCTAATAGTTTTAGAGTTATGTCCCGAACAAAAGTCAAAAAGTAAAAATAAAGAAAGGGCAATAATTTCAAAATAAGGCAAGGTAGAGTTGTGGTTCTTTAGCAATGCACTTCTACCCAATGAGACCTATCTACCTACAAGTTTCACGTTGATATCTCTTATAATTTAAGAGTAATGTCCCGGACGAAGTTCAAAGTGTCAAAATGCACAAAGGGCAATAACTCCAAAATTAGGGAAGACAGAGTTATGGTTCTTCAACAATGCACATCTACTCAATGAGATCTATCTACCTACAAAGTTTCATGTTGGTATCTCTTATGCATTTAGAGTTATGTCGCAAACAAAGTTCAAAGTGTAAAAATAAACAAAGGGCAATAATTCAAAAAATAGGCAAGACAGGGTTACTGTTCTTATGCACTGCACACCTACTCAATGAGATCTATCTACCTACAAAGTTTCATGTTGATTCCTCTAGTTGTTTCAAAATTATGTCTCGGACAAGAAAAGCGGACGGACAGACGGATCTTCCTACGAATGGTCATTTATTGGGTACTTCTTTTGTTTAAAAGTATCCAATAAGAGAACAAAAGTACCCAACAATACTGACGGAATGAATAGAATTACCCAACAAGTGTCCTCTTGTGTGTCGGAGGAACCCAATGATTGTCCTCTCTTTCGCCCGGACCTTTAACAAGAGAGTAATAATGTGGCTACTCTATTGTTCTCTCTATTGTTCTTTTTAGCCACACAAAAGAAAATAGTCATCTAAAAGCATTACGGAATGAATGACGTCAAAAGGGGAAAGAACAGTTACCTATTGTCCCTCTAGCCACATAATTACTGTTCTGTGAGTGCGGACAGATGGACGGACGGACAAAGCGGCGACAATATGCTCACCCTTCGGGAAGCATAAAAATTCACAACAATCTTTTAATTTCTTAAAACATATCATATGATAAAAAAATGTTTCAAAGACCCCAGCTCAACATTGTTTAAAGCATTAAATAAAAGAAAGTATCATTAATTTAAAGCTCCTGTATGTTTCAATTTAGGTTGTATACCACATTTAAGTGAAACTATAAATATGTATATAATAATGCTTATGAAACAATTTTCAAACATCGAAGAATATGTAAAATATGTGCTGCAAATATATGGGCATATTATATGTAATCATTAAAATATATGCATTCATTTCTTATTGAAAAATTTGACTTAGACTTTATAGAAAATACATTTTTTATTACCTCCCTTTATTTACATGAAATGTTAAAGCCGGTACTATCTTTATAAAAATTGCTTTTTGAAACTTAAAAAATTGATAAATCTTAATTTGAGCATCATATTTATGATATAAAACCATAAACAAGAGGGCCATGATGGCCCTGAGGTCGCTCACCTGTATATAGGCCCCCAACCCCCCCCCCAACGTTGCAGGGCCAATTTAACCCAAGGGCTTTTATTTGCACAAACTTGGTAGACACCCATAAGAAGATGTTTCATGCTAAACATCTAAGCTCTAGCTCATTGGGCTTTTTAAAAGAAGATTTTTTTAACTATACACATATAGTTAAAAACAATGACACCCCTGGGGCCGGGCCAGTTATGACCCCAGGGCTTTTATTTGAACAAACTTTGTAAACACTTACTAGAAGATGTTTCATGCTTAATATCTAAACTCTAGCTATTTGGGTTTTTTCAAAGAAGATTTTAAGTTTTTGCTAAACACATATAAAGAAAATCAATGACCCCCGGGGCGGGGCCAATTTATACCCCAGGTCTGTTATTTGAACAAACTTTGTAGACACTCACTAAAAGATGTTTCATGCTTAATATCTTAACTCTAGCTATTTGGGTTTTTTCAAAGAAGATTTTTTAAGTTTTTGCTTTATACATATAAGGAAAATCAATGATCCCCGGGGCGGTGCCAATTTTGACCCCAGGGCTTTTATTTGAACAAACTTGGTAGACACCTATAAGAACATGTTTGATGCCAAATATCTTAGCCATACTCTTTGAGTTCTTTAAAAGAAGATTTTTAAAGTTTTTACTATATGCATATAGGGAAAATCAATGACCCCCCCCGGGCGGGGCCAATTTTGACCCTAGGGCTTTTATTTGAACAAACTTGGTAGACACTTTTTAGAACATGTTTCATGCTAAATATCTTAGCTCTAACTCTTTTGGTTCTTTAAAAGAAGATTTTTTAAGTTTTTACTATATGCATATAGGGAAAATCAATGACCCCCCCCCCCCCGGGCGGGGCCAATTTTGACCCCAGGGCTTTTATTTGAACAAACTTGGTAGACACCTATTAGAACATGTTTGATGCTCAATATCTTAGCCATAGCTCTTTGAGTTCTTTAAAAGAAGATTTTTTAAGTTTTTACTATATGCATATAGGGAAAATCAATGACCCCCCGGTGCGGGGCCAATTTTGACCCCAGGGCTTTTATTTGAACAAACCTGGTAGACACCCATTAGAAAATGTTTCATGCTAAATATCTTAGCTCTAGCTCTTTGGGTTCTTTAAAAGAAGATATTTTAAGTTTTTACTATATGCATATAGGGAAAATCAATGACCCCCCGGGGCGGGGCCAATTTTGACCCCAGGGCTTTTATTTGAACAAACTTGGTAGACACCCATTAGAAAATGTTTCATGCTAAATATCTTAGCTCTAGCTCTTTGGGTTCTTTAAAAGAAGATATTTTAAGTTTTTACTATATGCATATATGGAAAATCAATGACCCCCCGGGGTGGGGCCAATTTTGACCCCAAGGCTTTTATTTGAACAAACTTGGTAGACACTCACTAGAAGATGTTTCATGCCAAATATCTAAGCTCTAGCTCTTATGGTTTTTTAAAAGAAGATATTTAAAGTTTTTTCTTTCCGTTGCCATGGCAACCAGAGTTCTGCATGGAATTAAATTCTTTGAACAATTTTTAAAGGTGACCACCAAAGAAACATTCCTGTGAAGTTTGGATGAAATTGGCTTAGTGGTTTATGAGGAGATGTCATTTAAAGTAAAAGTTTACGGACTGACGACGGACGGACGCCTGACAGACGGACGCCGGACGAAAAGCGATCAGAAAAGCTCACCCTGTCACTTTGTGACAGGTGAGCTAAAAATTGTGTTACAGGATCTGACAAGCTCAATATATTCCTAATCATTTTTTTTTATTTACACAAGGCATATTGGTAGGACAGCCTGCTTGACTATTCTCAGCGCTTGATAGTTAAACCAACCCTGAATAATGCACAATTTTCCGATTTCAAAAAGAGCCATAGATCTGTTAACATCCATGTAAGATTTATGGACCTCAGACAGTGACCTCAACTTATGCTTTCAAATAAGTGTATGGATTTAAACCCATTCCCTTCAGTAGTTTTATAGATGCTGACTTGCCTGCAAAACTTTACCAAATATTTTACTTTTATATGCATTTTCAAAATTTTCATGAAAATTAGCATGAATCTGGAGGCATGCTGCTTTAACCCAGGGGCTTTAATTTGAACAAACTTGGTAGACACCCATTAGAAGATGTTTAATGATAAATATCCAAGCTCTAGC